TACTACACTACTACACTACTACTACTCCTGCTCCTCCTGCTGCTGCTGCTGCTGCTGCTCCTGCTCCTGGACCTGCTCCTGCTACTTGCCACTGCCGCACGACCATGACCACGACCATTACCGCGACGACGACGTGGACAATGAATCATTGTGTGAATCTATTGGCAACAGCATAGGCAAGCCGTACTGAACGTATGGCCTAGTTACTGTATCGAATCCAGAGTTGACTCAATCAAACTCCGACTGCAAGCATAGCGACAATACCAAGAAACAAGGCACCAGAATGCAACCTCCCCAGGGTCGCTAGAGCAATGCCGGGGGCCGTGCTGGCCAGGCCTGTTGGGGCTGGGCTCCATGTCAAACTTGACGACATCGCCGGCGTTCGGGAGGGTGCCTGGCCGAAGTGAAAGCAATGTCCCCTCCGACAATAGTTAGGAGCAAGCTGACAAGTCGAACACTGGTTTCGGACCCCCCGCTGACACAACTGCTCCTTTTGAGGGGTTTATCTGGCCACCAACCGCTGGCTTGCCCTCTCCACTCCACTAGGCCTACGCAGCTCTTGGTGTGGACGAAAACCTCAGCTTCGGCTTGCAGTCGAAACTCAGCGCTTCGCGATTGTGCCCTCCCACCCTCCTACAGCATGCAGACCGAAAGGCATCATCTGCGCCCTCGATGCAGATAAAGCCGAAGCCCTTTGTAGCCTCGATGCGGGGAGCAGAAGCTGCTTTTACATGACATGTGTCGCGCCTGCTCCTGTGAGAATTCTTGCGATGCCGTCTCTGTTCCACTTACGTGGAGACAGCCCTGGGGCTTCGGCGTTGAAGGACTTCACAGTGCCTCCAGAAGAGAGATGAGCGCAGCACGAAAGGCGGCTTACGTGCTCAGGGACGCTGGCCTGTGTGGGCCCCAGTGCCCTGGACAGGCGTGGCCTCACGCGACGAGGGCGCAGAATCTAGCAAAAGAAGGTTGCTTCCCAGCCTTGCCCATCATGGAATCCTGGTCTCGCTCCGCTGTTCCACCGACAACGTTCTTGGCCTGTCTTCTTTCTACCCTCTACACCTGCACAAAACTCAGAGAGGGAGAGAGAGCAGTCCAAGCATCCAAGCATGAAGCCTTGAACTTGCCAGGCTGCGACTCCTCCAAGTCGAAAGTCAGCCTGTGAGTCCGGTCGACTGGTAGAGTCACTGGCCCTTAACGATTGTGTTGAGACAGCACCATCTGCATCAGTGGGAAGTCGATAAGAAGCCAGCCGACACACAGCTCTGAAGTCGTGAGAATCATTCGGCTAGCAAGTGTCCTGTGGATCCCGTAACGAAAGTTCTGATGCGCCGTAAACCGATATGGCCAACGGCGAGGATGCCAGCTGCCGAGAGGCATGTCGCCAGGTGCTGGCTGACCCCCCTGGCAGTCTCTGATGTGGACGAAGACATCCTGCAGGGCAAGGAACTGCCGCCAGCACAAAACCCCTTGGGCTTGCTCATGCCATACCCTGCGCTGAGCGTCGGCAAAACGAACACAAATCCAAACCCCGACATAGCACTGAATTCAAAAGTCTGCTACTCTGAGATGCAGGCCTGACCATTGTAGTCGATGAAGCCCCAGCCTTTGAAGCCTGGGCAGGTACAGTAAGGTGCCGGGACTGCGGCTTGGGATGGGGGGGCATCTTAAGGGAGGCCCGATACCTTCGAACGACACACCTTCAGCATCTTGAGCGAAAATCCGTCGAAAGTCTTGCAGACAGGCGGCCGTTGAATGACTTGCAGGATCCTGGCACTACGCGTGCAATAGACAACGGTGACCTTGCTCCTTCCACTCCTGCCTCGGAACGAAACGTAATCTTATCGGGAATTAAAACCAGAAGCAGGAAAACGACTGCCGTCGTTCCGGTCCTTGTGACGTCATTGAGCCTGCACCTCGTCTATATTGGGCGCATTTGTGTATGTAGAGCCAAAATTGCTGAACACCGGCACATTCGACAGATCATGCAGCGAGATTTCATCGGGTCCCTTTCGCGCGAAGATGCTGAGACCCCTGTGGCTTTAGCAAGCAGCCTCTGCAGTAGCGTAAGTGGAGCAAACCTCCAACGGCCAGTCTGCAAAGCTTGGACCCGGGCGGATCCCCTACTTCCACCATGGCTTTTGCCAACAGCCGGCGAAAGCATACTCCTTTGAAAACCCCCTCCTATGCTCCGGCTGCAGCCTTACCCTGTTTCAAAGTTCATGTCAGCGATCCTTTGCACTGCTCGCCACCACCTAGGTCCACAGTCGCAAAAGGCTTGAACCAGCACCGTCGATTTGCATTTTCAGCAAGTTGCTTGCTCTCCACCCAGTTCTCTGAAACCCGTCTTGCTTGCAGCACTCTTGTTGCCTGCGTCCCTGCCCAACGCAACTCTGCAAAAGGCTATCGCGGTGGGCCTACATGCCGCCGGATCACGTCCGCAGCTGCCTGCGTTGCATTGTGCTTCGACTGAAAACGTTTTTTGATACCCAGACAGCACTATGGCGCTGCAGCTACCGGAATGGACTGCACGGCCTTGCAGTTTCGGTGGAGAGCCACATCTAGAGCCGTCTTGTCTTCAAAGGCAAAGCTCCAAGCCTTGCATCATTTCGGGCATGGCTTGCTGAGGCCTAGGAAAGGCTGACTCAGGCCGTGACTCGGCGGTTACCCTCAACGAACTCGGGGTGCGAGAGCATCTTCTCACACACATCGGCCAGATCCTGCAGGGCGGCACGACTCCACTCCTGCGATGTCCATTTCGGGGAGGCTTCCTGGTCGGCTGCCCAATGCAAAGCTGTAGCACCCCACTTATCCTGCGCGTTGACGCCTCATGGCTGACATGATTTGACATGTGGAGCAGTACATGCAGTACACGAAGCGACTTTCGATGCAAAGGCTTAGGCCAACGAAGTCATCCCTGTCGAGCACAGCATTGCATACCTGCAGCTCCGGGAAGCGGACGCGAGCCCTCTTGAGCCTCGGCAAGTTGCAGCCTCTGCCTGCCTGGGACATGCCCTTCGAGGCCGCCAGAATCAGCAAGGTGTAGCCAAAGCTTGGGCGCAACATACAGTGCAAGAAAGGCTCCAAGGCCACTCGTGTACGGACGGACTGGGGGCTCGGAGTCGCAGAGGCTCTGCGAGGCTCTGCGAGAGGTACAGGAGCCAGTCCGGGTGCCACGCGTGTCGACAGCATTCGTCTCGTTGAAATCCTTGTGCGTGGCGATGGCCCTGAGGGATAAGGAATCCGGTGCGATCCGCGGGACTTTACCCCTCTTTAAGTGGCTCTGAGCGAGCAAGCCGGAAGTTGCATAAACGTGCCACAACACACGGCCACAGCAATCTAATCTGTCGTCGCTCTGGCCCTGAGGCCATGAGGCAAAACCCTTCAAAACGTGCCACGGATAAACGTGCCAGGGCAGTGACTCCTTAAATACAACCTCCACACGAAGGTTATGCTCTCAACTTTGCGTGATAACCTAGAGGTTTTGCATGAAGCAACCTCAAACAACAACTCCTTATGTCACTTTTTGCCCAACTAGGACACCACATGTAATCCCGGCAGGTACACGAAGAGCGGTCTGCGAAGCTCAAGAAAGGCAAGGCTGAAGCTGCCTGGAAATTTACGTGAGTCATCAGAGTCATCAGCATGTTTTGCTTCCAGGGAACAAGGCCCACAAGGCAGGGAGCAGTTACATCTGCTGGCCGTCGCATACTTTACGTTTGACATGGCAGGTCGGCCTTCAATTCGGACGGCAGGCTTCTGAACAGTGCAGCGCACGAGGGTGGGGGATGATAGAGCTGGAGCTGTAGGGGTAGGAGGCAGCCGAACTCTGCTGAAAAGCTTGACAGATGCCGCGCCGCGCAGGTGACTCCCTATCCGAAGTTCAACCCAGCCATCTTCGCAAATTTGGGTGCCGAGCAGGCACAGGTCCTCCGGAAGTTTTCGGAGCATGGCCTCGCCATCTTCAAAACCGGGTCCCCGCTTCCGCCGCTTGGCCGCCACTGAGCTCCATGCCACGTGCAGTGCTGTTCGCCCGTCCTCAATCCGGATAGCCGGGGACCCCACTAGGCCCTTACAGGTATCCACGAGCAGAACCACATCCAGTTGGAAAATCACTTGCGCAGCAGAACGGACTCCTTGAGCTTCTCATTTATGTGGCGAAAACTCGGATGCTGCACCTAGTCTCGCAGAAAGATGCCGCACTCAAGAGGCAACATCTCACGATCGTGACACTCTGATCCTGATGTTGCCTAGTCAATTGTCAGATCGAGGGCTGCAAGAAATGATGTTTGCCAGGTATCAGGGTACGGACGACCCAAAGGGCATACACCTTGCCCCACCAAATCGGATTACGGTGCAAGCCTAACGCATGAGATGGGGAAATAGACGCAAGCACGACGCTCGCAGCACCGCCCTTCCCATCTGTTGCGACTCAGCTGTGCGAGTGGGGAACGTATCGGCAAACATAGGACATCACAGTGGAGGATGTCCCGATCCAAGCTCGCAACTGCGAATCTGACGAGCCGGCCAAGGCCACCGGCAGTGCCGGATAGTCGAACCAAAATGTAACCCTCAGGACCCCAAACCCCACCTCAACCCCAACAACCCTGAATCTGCTCCAAGATGGTGACATTTGCCATTCCTGGAGGGCCCCGCGAGAGCTCGACATCGACCCTCGTCGCGTGCATCGGCTGCCTCAGCGCATGGCTGCGCAGACCCTTCATGGAACTTCCAGGCGAGTCTGCACAGGGCTGAGTCTGAACAGGGCGACTCGGCGTGCCCTTGGCTCCCGCATTTCTATCGGTTAAATAAGACATGCGGTATGCTATGGGCATTCGCAGATTCGCGGGCCGGTTTACATCTGAGCGTACCGGTATATGTCACGTCCCGAGCAGGCCTCCAGCAAAGCTCCCGGGTTGGCCACCTCCTGGCTTTCGGCCGTCACGGCAAGGCCCTCTGAGTGGCAGGTGCGCCTCGTCTCTGAGGTTGGGAACGTGTACCTCCCGGGGCTAGGCTTAGAGCGGCACTAGGGTCTAGCGGAAAGAGGGCAGAAGCAAGGTTGAAACTCAACAAAGATGGGTCTCAACGCCGCGCAGAAAGTCTTCAGTGCTCAACTGCCGAGCAGATTTACCAGGAGCGGTACCCAGTGTGTAAGCGTCTGGCGGTACTAGCTGCCTTGGCTTTCGGCCGCCGCCCAATGACGCCTGGAGGATTCCTCGCAGAAGGTGCTGCTATCATCATTGTTTACGTCGTACCCTCACTCCTATCGTCATGAGTCTCAGTTGATGGGCAGAACCGCACATTGTGGCCCGGTCGCAAAATGACCCCCACCCACCACTCGAAGACGGAAACTCCAGATGCGTACACACCCGGTCAGGATCAGGTTGCCTGCATGGACGGCCCGATTCTGGCCCACGGAAGAGCATCTTGAGCTCTGCACTGTGCACTTTTGCCACTGCCCCATCCACTGCTCCACCTTTGACAGCGCCTGGCCGCCCCGCTTAGCTGACCAAGTCACATTGCAGAGAACACGTTCGCGGGGTCGTCAGTCCGGGGATACAAACACGCTTGGGACAAGTGTTGCGGGGCCCGGAGGGCTGCCCTGCGGTCACGGGTGTGAGAAATCAAGTATTGGTGTTCGCCGGCCCATATGTGCGATGTGTGCGACATTGTGCGACAAGAGTGAGTAGGCCCCCTATCGAAGCTGCCCAGCTTCGCCGAGCGTTACAAAAGCGCACGCTCGGCTCGACAGGAAAGTCACAGGAGGCTCCTTGGTGGCCGCGCATCCGGCCTTAAGGGACTCGAGCGCCCTCCCCACACATGAGACCGGCTGAAACAGCAGCAGCCCCACACTTTTGTTCACGAGGCATACCCATGCTTCTTCTCACCATCAGGCACCGCCGGCACCGCGAGCATGCTTTGCAGGAGCTTCCACTCCTTGCAACGTTTGCGGTGCTGAAGCAAGCTTGAGCATCACGACTGCAGCTCCTCGTCCGTTGGACGACCGCCTTTCTTCATCATGCGCTCACGCCGTTCTGAATCGGCACTGCCAGGAGCTGGATTCACGCGCGCCAGGTTGTTCAGGTTGCCTGTTAGCCATGGCATCAAGCGCAAACTCACCAGCACTCACTTTCTGTTAGTTCGCAGCACCCGTCTAGGCCATCCAAGGGTCCGTTGTCCGATACGGTCGGCAAGTCCACATTCGCCATCCTGAGAAGTCGGAGGGTCAGCAACAAGAGCACAGGAAAACACCCAGGCTGTTGGAGGATGCCAAGGATCCACTCGCCGTCCACGATGAACTTGTATTGGTAGACGCCTGGCGGCGTGTCCCGTTCCAAGACGAACTCACCGGTGGCTGAATTCTTCACCTCACACCAGGGGTCGAACAGCCGAGAGCGACAAAATCTCCGACTGCAACCTGATCCCTCCATCGCCCTAAAATCATCCATTCTCAGAAGCCCTGGGCATGGCACCAGAGGAACGCGCTCGTGCCAGCCGAAGTCCAAGCCAGCAACCTCCACGGACACCGCCTCAGAACCGCCAAACGCAAAAGACGCTGCGTGCCATCCGCCATGCATAGATACTGCGGCTACAGAATGCCTTGCCTTCGGGAGCGTCCACGAAATGCGCAGACGGCCAGTGCCCAGGCCGCCTCCCAGCAAGTCCTCGGGCCATGCCAGGCTCTGCCAGCACTCCGCCCAACCGCCCAACCCAACATCTCATGGCACCGCAAGCTTGCGCTGAGGACGCGTCACAGGCTGCAGCACGGACCATGTTCAGCTGCCTATAGAACCGCAAAGCGTCGCTAAATGAACATGTCGGTGTGAAGGAGCCGTTCCGATCACGTCCAACCAATTGCTTCGGGCGGCGGGTGACATATACGACTCTTGTACCTGGGCGTCTGGGCCAGCGCAAGCCACCGCAGGCGGAAATGTTCAAGCCGAGCGACAGGTGCGCATAGGCCTCGTCGAGGTCCATGCCCTCGACCATAAACCTGCACTTGAACTTCTTGAACTTGAGCTTCCCCGGTCGAACTACCTCTAAGCCAGGAGGGAAGACAGCCTGCAACCCCGGAAAGAACATTGGCCGAGCAGCATGTAACCCAAGGCAGTGGCTGGAGCCCTGCCGAGACCGGCGGTGCAGTGAATGTAAGCGATATCCTGCCAACTGCAGCTGATATTCATGGGGATACAGCTAAAATGCCTGGTTATCTGGTTGGTAGTCCTTTGGGCGTGCCAGCATCTCTGCATTCAGCCGCCGCACTGCGCTGGGCAGCTGCCTGCGAGCTGCCCTCTCCGAGAGACGGGCAGCACGGCAGCACCCAAGAGGGCGACACCCTCGCTCACAGCCCCGCATGAAATCATTAAAGAGCCGAGGAGCTTTCGAAGTGAAAGTGGGTCGAAGTCTTTGATTGGGTGCCTCCGCAGGATGCACTTGCTGTACACGCAGGGATCTATCCTTGCAAGGAAAACATGCGGCCTCACATGCAGGATATCCACCTCGTTTGCCCGAGCCACTATGGGGGCAAGGTCGATGTTGAAGTGGGCCATGTCCTTCGAATAAGACAGTCGTTGGAGAAATGCAGAAGCATGCCCCTTCAACTTTTTGAGGCTCTGTGCAGTGACTACTTTCAGGAGGTGCACGCGTCCTTGTCTTCCTGCAAACAGAAGACGATGCCAATGCCCTCCTTCTTGAGCCTTGAGGCTTGCATCTTGAAAGCGTTCTGGCCGCCCACTTTGAGGTCTCTAAAAGCGCGAGACTGCATGCCGGTCGTCCAGACTCGGACTCTGAAGATGCTGCGCGAGCCGAGAAGCGTGTCAACGTCTGCCGCAGTCTGGAGGCAGGAGCCGATATAAATCCTTTCGAAGCATTGAGCATAGTTCATGCCGTCCTTCGGGGCAGAGTCCAGCACACGCAGTAGCGCACAGCATGTGCTCTTGTCCAGCATTTTGCCCTCCTCGTGCTTATACACGAGGCTGCTTGCCATTTGCTTTTGCCTACCAGTCGAAGCGGCAACTTTTTTGCAAATACAACATGGATGTGCTGGAAACGTGACACCTGCCGCGGACAAGGGCTCGTGCTGGCAGGACACATGGTCTCAGAGTACTTTGCCGACGTCGTGCCCGCGCCATCGTCTTTGCCAGGCTGCGCCATGGCCGAGTCGCAGCAGCGCTCGCCTAATAGGAGACCTGTAGCCTGCTTCGGGTGGCTGATGTTTCTGCTTCGTTGGGCAGGACTATGTCGAAGCTTCCTTTGGACGGGACAATGTCGAAGCTTTGGACAGTGTCTTCAGCCGCTGCCTATGCTTGACAAGCATCAGCTGCCACGCAAACACCCCAAACTTTGGGCACCTATCTGCAGTTGAACTGCACTGCACACTGGCTATGTTCCTGGGCGTCTGCGCCAATCGCTGCAATCGCCCGTTTGTTTCCAACTGTGACACCCGAAAGATACGAGCAAAGGCAAGGCTTGACTGAATGAAGTCAGAGGTGAATGCAGCTTCGCTTCGTCATTACACGATATTCCACTGCGAACGAGGGCTTAGTATTGACAGGTCGCACGTCTCTTGCACGTTTGTCCCTTGCTTCTCTTTGGCACAACTTCTCCAAGGACAGGGCGCAGTGGCAGGTGCCGGCCCCAAACCGGGGATGTTCGCCAGACCTGCTGACAACTGGAGAAGCCTAACTGAAGAGATGCTCGTGCAAGTCCAACTCCTGCGTACCTGCCAGACTTCCCAGGTCCAGCCCCTGCAGACCGGGTAGGTTGCTGAGGGCTGGTAGCACCTGCTCAAACGGAGCTTGCGGGAAGCTGAAGCTTCGCATAGGCTGGGCTTCTGGCTGAGGCTGCTGGCGCAGATGGAGGGGCTGGCTGCCCTCCTAGACCGAGAGCCATGTTGATGGCAGCCAGCGTTGCAGGATCCAGACCTGCAAGCTTGGAAGCCCAAGGGCACACTGACACCAACTCCAAGTCTAGTCCACAAGCAGGAATGCGCATCCGGGTGTTTTTCAAGATCCGGCTGCCAACACGAAGAGCTCCCAAGCGAGCTGCAGTTGCGTGACACATCTCTGGGGGAGTCCACTTGAGAGATGCTTTTCGAAGAAAGCGATCCGAGATGACCCGAGGCTATCGAGAGCCCGAAACTTCAGGCACTGTTCGGGCTGCCGGTCGGCCTGGGATGGGCCCAGTTGGCTGGACCTAAGTGAAGTGACCGGAGTATGTCTCGAAATGCTGGCAGCCGGGCACGTAAGGCACACACCGGAACCGCTGCTGCAGGCGGTGCCTCCATGGGTCGATATTTGTGGCGGTGCTGCCAGAAAGACCAAGGTTGCCCGACACGAGCATACGGCGAGGTGGGCGCTGCGTGGACCTTGCGTTCGGAAAGACAGAGGCGATCAGAGCATAGCCGAACATGCTTGCAAACCCTCCGTGTCTTCAGCTTGGGCACGACCGGCCGCACAGCACCATAGCCTGCGGTCTGTCGGCTATACTGCCGTGTAAGACCAGTCCCTGTGCCATGCCTACAACCGCCGGTTGTGGCTGAAGAAGCGCAAGAGCCTGGAAGGCACGCAGGCATCGGCCAGGCCAGGCCCTTTTGCAAATCGCGCTGATGCAACCCCTGGGGCCCCTGGGGCCCTCACCGCAGCAACCGCGGCCGAGGTGCCGGGATCGGCGGCCTTGGCACAGAGAACGCCACCGTCTGGAACGACCGTGAAACCAAGCAACCTCCCATCTCACTGCTTTGAGCTGCCACATTGCATGCATCAGCTCCCTGGTAGTTCCACACAGAGCCTCAACTGTTACTGACATGCCAACAGTCCAAGCAAAGCATAGAAATGAAACTTTTATGGAAGGCACCTGGACAAGCGAGATGTCCATCCCGATAAACCCAAGCCCGAAAAAACACGCGAAGTTCCAGCCACCACACTTTAGCCGCACGCTCGGATGCAAGCATGGGTTTAGGTTCGTTTGGACTCTCGCAACTCGGGCAATGCAGGCAAGGTTGGTTCGGTTCGGCAGGGCGGCGCATTGGCCGCAGGCAGGTCGAGCGCATCACAACATGCCTGAGCAATCCACATACCGTCTTCAATTAACGTGATGAGCAGCCTGTATTACGAGATCAAGTGAAGCCTTCCACACCGTAGTAGGACCCCTTCCAAACGTGTCACGGACTGGCAAAACCTTTTTTTGACTGCTCAGTGGACAATACTGTCGAAATGCCACGTGCACTCCGCGTCTGCGGAAAACAACCCCTGCGCCATCTAAAAATCGCAGAGGCCGCCTGAAGACGGGCTGAAGCTCGGAAAAAGTTACACCGGTAAAACAAAACTTGTTTAAGCATCTGCCATGGCCTTGGAGTCGTCCAGAGCGGCCACGCCGGGCAGGAGCTTGCCCTCCAGAAGCTCGAGAGATGCACCACCACCGGTGCTGCAGTGGGAGACCTTGTCCACGGTGTCGTACTTCTTGCAAGCAGTGGCAGTGTCGCCTCCGCCGATGACTGAGACGGCACCCTCCTTGGTGACTGCCACGATGGTCTCCATCATCTGCTTCGTCCCCTTCTCAAAGGCCTCCATCTCGAACACGCCCATGGGACCGTTCCAAACGATCGTCTTGGATTTCTTGATGGCCTCGTCGTTCATGGCGATGGACTTTGGGCCAATGTCGAGACCCAAGAAGCCCTCGGGAACACCTGTGCTCATGTCGCCCTCCTGGATCTCGCCATCATCTCCGAACTTGGAGGAGCACACAAAGTCCACGGGCAGGATTAGCTCCACACCCTTCTCCTCGGCCTTCTTCTTGATCTCCGGCACCAGCTTGGCACCCTCCTCGTCGTAGAGGGAGTTGCCAATGTCCACACCGGCCTCCTTGATGAAGGTGAAAGCCATGCCTCCTCCGATAATCATGATGTCAACCTTGTCCAAGAGGTTCATGATCAGCTGGATCTTGTCGGCGACCTTCGCTCCGCCGAGGATGCCGCACACCGGCCTGGTGGGCGCGTCCACCACCTTGGCGAAGTAGTCGAGCTCCTTGGCCAGGAGGAAGCCTGAGCACTTCACGGGGTAGCCCTCTCCGACCATGGAGCTGTGGGCACGGTGGGCAGTGCCGAAGGCATCGGAGCAGTAGATGTCTGCCAGCTTGGCCAGAGATGCACGGAACTTCTTCACCTGGTCGGCGTCAGCCTTCACCTTTTCAGGGTGAGGGATCAAAAAAAATTGATAAGGATCAAAAAAAAATTTAGAACTCGAGGATCAAAAAAAAATTAAATAAGGATCAAAAAAAAATTTGCCCTTTGCTATATTTGCAAGGCTTCAAGACCAGGGAACCAGAGGACCACAGGACCAAGGGGCCAAAGGACCACGGGACCAGGGGACC